GGGTCACCCAGGGGTCACTCGGGGGTCACTCGCTCACCCGGGGTCACCCAGGGGTCACCCAAGGGTCACTCGGGTCACCCGGGGGTCACTCGGGGGTCACTCGGTCACCCGGGGGTCACCCAGGGGTCACTCGGGGGTCACTCGCTCACCCGGGGTCACCCAGGGGTTACTTGGGTCACCCGGGGTCATCCAGGGGTCACCCAAGGGTCACTCGGGTCACCCGGGGGTCAGGGGGTCACCCAGGGGGTCAAAGGGTCACTCAGGTGTCACTCGGGATTAGCAATCACTCGGTGGTAACTCAGTGGTCACTTGCTGTCACTTGCAGCCACTTGCGGTCACTCGAGGTCACTCCTGGTTACTCAGTGGCCACTCCCGGTCACTCACGGCCATTCCCAGTCACTCGCGGTCACTCACGGTCATTCCCGGTCACTCGGTGGTAACTCAGTGGTCACTTGCTGTCACTTGCAGCCACTTGCGGTCACTCGAGGTCACTCCTGGTTACTCAGTGGCCACTCCCGGTCACTCACGGCCATTCCCAGTCACTCGCGGTCACTCACGGTCATTCCCGGTCACTCGGTGGTCACTCAGTGGTTACTTGCTGTCACTCGCGGTCACTCCCGGTCACTCAGTGTCACTTGCGGTCACTTGCGGTCACTCGTGGTCACTTGCTGTCACTTGCGGTCACTCCCGGTCACTCAGTGTCACTCGCGGTCACTCGCTGTCACTTGTGGTCACTCCTGGTCACTCAGTGGTCACTCAGTGGTCACTCGCGGTCACTCAGTGGTCACTCAGTATCACTCGCGGCCACTCGCGGTCACTCGCAGCCACTCGCGGTCACTCAGTGGTCACTCAGTGGTCACTCAGTATCACTCGCGGCCACTCGCGGTCACTCGCAGCCACTCGCGGTCACTCAGTGGTCACTCAGTGGTCACTCAGTGGTCACTCGCGGTCACTCGCGGTCACTCAGTGGTCACTCAGTGTCACTCGCGGTCACTCGCAGCCACTCGCGGTCACTCAGCGGTCACTCAGCGGTCACTCAGCGGTCACTCGCTGTCACTCGCGGTCACTCGGTACCCGGGCGGGTAGGGCGGCGCCCCCTCCTCCATGCCGGGCGGCTCCAGGTGCACCAGGTGGAAGCTCCGGGCGATCTCCATCATCTCGGGGTGCCCGAACAGCTCCGAGAAGCAGGTCTGGTCTGGGGGGGAGGGGTCAGCGGCGCGCGCGGGGGGCGGGGGGCGCGCGGGGGGGGCGGGGACTCACGCGTGTGCCCCACGTCCGGCAGGGTCAGCAGCGCGGGGCGCCCGGCCCGGGGGCACCCCGAGATCCAGGCGTGCACCACCCCGAAGGGCGTCTCCAGAAGGTGCTGCCAGGTGGGAACCCCCGATCAGCCCGAAACGGGATCCCGGGCCCCAAAGGCGGGGTTTGCTCCCCAAAAACCGCCCCGG